TTATTTGCAAAATTACAAAGTTCTTACATGAAGACCTGTGAACCAATAATAACTTAGAGGCAATAAGGCAAATGCCAGGGTTTGCAAAATTAAGAAATCAGAATAGTAGACTTCTGACCAAAATCAAGAATTTAACACTTCTACACTATATCTATTAATTTAAACTTTATTTAGCGACTGTAGTTTTCTGGGGGCATCTAATTAGTTTATACATTAGATTACACCTCTTAACAGTCTTGAAACTGTCTGACTTCCATGCTGTGACAATACTGGTTGAAAAGCACATATACTGGTTTAGCTACTTGTTAAAGATTGCAATTTACAAAATAAAGTTTAAATTAATAGATATAGTGTAGAAGTGTTAAATTCTTGATTTTGGTCAGAAGTCTACTATTCTGATTTCTTAATTTTGCAAACCCTGGCATTTGCCTTATTGCCTCTAAGTTATTATTGGTTCACAGGTCTTCATGTAAGAACTTTGTAATTTTGCAAATAACAGGCAGTATCTCATTTGTTTACAACTGAAGCAGTTAGAGATCATGTAGCGATTGTACTTATATACGGTCGCATTTTCCTAACATCTTTACAGATTTGTATTCAATATGGAGTATGTATATATTAGACTACTCAGATATACTGTAGGTGTAATCTAATCCTTTCAGTCAGTGAACATTTAGTTATAAACTGGAGCTCATGTTAAGAAACTGGATGTTTTGGACCAGACTGGCACACAACATAAATTGCATCCGTGATAATATGCACCTTCCCTTCAACTATTGCTTTAGTAAGATAAATTCCCACATTAATAAATGGCTGAAAAGTGGTAAAGCTGGTACAAAAAAATCTCCATTAGTAAGAAGAAACAAAACAGTTAAAAAAATCTTCCTTCAGGATTCATTTGTCCTTCATTATTGTTCATCATTGTTCAAGCCAGCACAATAATGCAGTATTTTTTTCTCTTTAGTATTGCATGAATGAATAAAGCTTAAACTATTCCCTGAAAAAGTTACATCGTAGCTAACCTAAGAAATATCTGGAAGACTTGAAAAAACAATTAAGGAATCAAATGGCTGTAACTGATCTAGATGGAAAATGCAATGATAAGAAGCAGCCGATGCATCGTCGCTTAGTCGTCTAATTAGAGACTGCTCCTATGAAATCTAATACTGCATTCAGTCAGTTCATCGTGTTGTACTGTACTGCTAGGTACGATGGTTCTCTCTTTGATTCCTTTGTCATTGGGGACATTATGGTTCATAATAAGTTCACTGGCATCCATATTATGGATTTCCATCCTTTGGCAGGCCTGGCTTCCATCTCTCTTCAATTAGAGACCTCTTTTAAAAAGTTCAGCAGCAAAGGAAAAAAAAAGAAAAGAAAAAGAAAAAAACTAAAAGAACAGAAAAGGGAAAGAGAGAAAAGAAAAAGGAAAACTGCATCAGATAGACACAGAAGAAAGAGCTGAAAGCTGCTTCACAGTCTTGCTGCTAATATCAGTGCAGTCATTTTTTTTTCTTAATTAAACACTAAGTTTCTTTGCCATTATTATCCTGTTTATTTTCCCTTTTTTTTTTCAACGTGCATGATGGGAAGGCCCATGATGCTTTAGTCAAACCTTGGCCTCCAGCATTTCCAAAAAAAGTTTGTGCATGGGAACTTTGCCTTCCAGTTTGATGTTGTAGAAATGCTGCACCGCCTTAGTGGAGGTTTGCCTCAGAAGCGGGAGAGTCATCAGCATTTTGCCAGCTCGACGTGGGTCTTCCATATGTTGACCAGCCTCGTAATCCTGCAGAGCCTCATGTAAGACATCTTGAAGTTTCTGAACTGCTTCAACATCCTCTATGTGCATTGAGTCTGCAAAACAAAGGAATAACATCAGTTTTCAGCATGGAGTGCCAGACTGCCAGCATTACACTGTAACTGTTTCAGGTGGTATCTCACACTGTAATATGTAATGGCACCATATTTGTTTATAGAATTTGCCTTATGGATTTACACAGTGTTTTTCATATTGTTTTAAAAAAAAACAAAAAAAAGAGAATTATCCATTTATTTCTATACTGGCCTTCAGGATCTTCCTTGTAGTAGCAAACATGTCGTGGCATCTTGTAAAAGTGTTAAATTCATCTACAAACTGACCAAAACAAATCCATCCTCCATGCAACTAAATACTTTCTTACAGTGCCTTCCTAGCTATGCAGAACAAATAGCGCTGAGAGGGCAAAGGCCACCTGAGTCACAACCCACTGCAGCTGCTGCTGCAAGAACAATTCCTACCTCTCTGGTGCACCTGGTACCAACCCAAGGCAGCATCCAGAGTTTACAAAGTGAGAAGACCAGATGGACTTCGGGCTGAAACAGGGGATGAATAGGTATGAGTCTCTTTCCACCCTCACAGGGCAATTAAAGATATTTGTTTCCCAACCAACCTTCCTTACACAGCTATCAACCACCATTAGCAAAGAACATCAAGAGGGTCCTTAGAAATACGTCTGCAATGCTAAACAGATAGTTTTTGCAAGATGTAGCCTACCAAGGATAGTTTGAGGTTCTTTTTTGCCAACCTAATCGAAATTAAATAAACCCAACACCTCTCCACATCTTACTTGGTTCTGTATATTTTTTTGTGAAGTGTTTCTATGGAAAGAAAACTCTTGTGATCTCAGATATGAGTAGGAGCCCTAGCAATAATGCACAGGAGGAACCAAACTGAAGAATGCCTTGAAAGCTTCTCTTTTTCCCAACCATGCACTTGACCAGTAAAAGATATCACCCACAGAAATCCTTGCCCTATGGAAAAGGTTCCAGCACTAGAAGCTGCAGATGATAATGGGAGGCTTGGTCCAAATATATTTAAAGCTTTAACCAAAACAGTTACGAAATAGAAAGATCAAAACGATGACCCTATTGAACAAAATGGGTTAATCCTACAGCCCTACGATTTTCCCTTTAACTAGCCACTATCTAAGCAACAGAAGAGAGAGTGATGAGAGCCTGGCAAAGAGTTCATCCATGAGAGATGTAGTCCACACTTTGAAAAGGTTGGAGAACAATGGCTAGGTACAGACATTCAAAAAGCCTGATGCAGAATCGACCTGTTATGTAGCTTTCTGCAAACAGCAGAGTTTAGATCAGTAGCAAATAGAACACACATTTGCCTTTTGCTGGGGAGCGGGGGGTGCAAAACTTAGACCATGTTCCACCATTTTTAAACCAGTCTGCGTATGCTGAACTTGTGTTCTGTTATGGAGACAGATTGGTTTCCGATCACTTATACTGGTAAAAGTGTAATATCTGTACCTGGACATAATGTATTAATCTAAGGGCAGCAATAGTTATTGGGGACATCACTTCTAGTTGCTTATTCTGCCCTAGAATCCTAACATGACTTTTTCCTAAATGCACGGGCATAGTTTCTGACATTTTTTTTTTTTATAAAGCACATTTGCTTTATTTAGCCTTTTATTTGTGCAGCTGCCATCTTCTTCCTTTCCCTTCAGCCTGTGCAGGCTCTTAAGGCTATCCTTTTTATCTTCTAAAAGGCATGCAAATTTATTAGTATTTCCTTGTCATAAGGGACCCTAATAGCCATTACATTATGTAGTTTTCTGTAAACAGTGTAGTTTAGATCACTAGCAAACAGAACACAGTTGCCCTTTGCTGGGGGACAGAGGAAGGAATGCTTTTTAGTCTGGAGAAGGTATCAACTCTACCATAACCAGACAGAAGTGGGTCCTCGACATCCCCTAATTCTGTGAAATAGAATGAGTAACGTTGCCAGGGCTTGTAATGAGCAATGCTATCGTAGGCGTCACTATTTAAGCTCAGGTTTGCCCTTGGGGGAGACCAAGTGGATCTCCCTGACAGTGGTCACAAGAGCAGCGAGTAACAAGGAAGGAAAGGCAGCTATAAGCAAAATGTGGCACCACAAACCAAATGCTCCCCTAGCTATCAAAACAGAGAGGAATAAGGTCTTAAAGAACTTGATAAAGCCAAACAGCCAAATATAGTGTTTACTATGGGGGTTAGCTGATTTGGACCGTGGCAGTCAATGAGAGGATGGGCCATGTGTAACCCTTCTGTAAGGGCATATAGCCCCAAGGGAATGTGAATTTGTGCGTTACAGCAGTGATGAGGCTGTAACCAGGACTAGAGCTGGCCTGCAGTAATTCCACCTACTTCTAATCCTACTCCGAAATTCTTGCTGCTCTGACTTCAATTTTTGACTATTTAGCAAAGACTCCATTTTCAGATGGAGAAAAGATTAAGTAAAGCTTCTTTTGTTATTGTTTTGCTTTCTTAAGCAGATTCAGGCACCCGAAAGCTAATTTTACACAGCACCTTATATCTGTTGTAGCCTAAGAAAGATAGACCTACAGCAAATTTGGTTTTGGGACCTAGGTTTCACTATCCCTACGCAAACAAATAGTTTGGATGGCTGTAATGTGACTAGTAATTTTGTAACAGTCAATCTGGGTAGGTTTTATCAGTCAATTTTATCAGTCAATCTGTGTAGGTTTTAAATACCCTTTTGACTTAAAAGGCATTGTTCAAAAAACACAAGCCAAACTGGGAAATAAGAGGTTAAAAAGGATGGCCCATGTTTATTCTCAAAAGAAATGTGCAAATGGAAAAAAAAGTTACAGCTTCTGCTCTAAAATAGACACTTAATTATATACAAGTTTGGATCATTTAGCACGTTTTATTGATTCTGATGACAGTTTATCTGTTAATTACACATAATGGAGTCCTATGGGGATTTTGCATGTTTAATAATTCTGGATCTTAGTGAATAGATTGTCCTAAGAAGCATGCAGTCAGATATGTACTGCAGAAACTGCAAGCTTCAGTTACTGTGCATCTGGGTGATCAAGTCTATAAACATTAAACTGGGAAAAACAAAAAATGTGGGGTAACAAAACTAGGGGTGGGGGGAAGGAAATGCAAGGGAATGTCGGCACTGGCCAAGGTTTTCCCATTCTCCACTTCTAATTTTTTTTTTTTTAATAAAGAGATCAGCTTTTGCATTTTGTAGAACTAATGAAATTTACCTTTGACAATCAAAGGTGAGTCCCTGATTTTTTTGTGTGTGTACTACAAATTAGGGGTTAATAAAAGCCCTTATGGGCATGCATATTTTGATGTTAATTATGTCTATGTAATCAGAGAGTAAATCTACTAAATTCAGCATCCATATACACACTCACTCCTCCTGCCCACCCACTGGACTCTAGTTGGAGTCATTTCTTTCCAAACACTTCCACTGCATTCTGTGGCCATATTTGGAGGATGATGTATGAGCTGTGGATAATGGTTCTTGTGACAGATCAGAGCTGCTGTATGCAAGAGAAATGGCTTCCTGCAGAAATTTTCAGCTGCAGAAAGGCAGCAACATATTCTGACCATGAAGGTTTGTCAGTTTGCACCCTCTACAAAATTGTCTAGATAAAGTGAGCAGATGTTTGTTCCAGGTAGTTGCTAAGAAATTTGAAAGTTCAAAGATCAAAATTTCACTGGGTGCATCTACACGTACAATTAATGCTAAACAATAAACTCCAGTGCATATTGCAGTGGAGTGTATTGCTCCCGGGCACCGTGTTCACACATGCACTCTGGACTGCAGCACACTGAGTCAGGTCAGAACAGCTCTGGCTGGCAAGGGGCCCATGGAGTCAGCCTGCCAACCCAGGGCTGCTCTGCCCTGGCTCAGCATGCTGCAGAGGGGTTGGCTAGGGCACGAGGATGCTTCAGTGTGGGGGTAGCCAGCAGGCAGCCTTTGCACTGAAGCACCCTCATGCCCCAGCCAGCCCCGTCAGTGCCTACAAGTGCGCTGCTGCACAGTAAATAATGCCACCACAGGATACTACTTCTATTTACAAGTACTAATCTATGGTGCTGTTTATTAGTTTACTGTGACCTAATAGGGCCACGTGTGTCAATGTGGAGACTTTACTGCAGAGTTAATAGGGCAGCTCCACAGTAAACTTCTTGTGCAGACGTGCTCAGTGTGTTGTGCTGGTTTTCACTAAAATCAACTCTATAGACATGTAAAAGTTCAGATGAGAATTCAGCCATTTAACTTTGACTAACACATATACATACAGAGATGAAAAGTAAAGAAGAATCTATGATGTGGCATAGCTCTTGAATCCTGGATTCACAAAAGAAAAATATTCTCTTGTGGCTGCCTTTCCCTTCCATCAGGGAACATCTAACATCCCTGTGGTAATGACAGAATTTGCTTACATGAAACAGTAATAGCAATTAAGTGTTTAAAGTATTTTTGCTGTTTTTAATTCTGTTCAAAGCTGGAAACAAAATGACCAGCCAGCTCTCCACAGGCCACATGCATGTACTCTATAGGCTGGCTTGATTCATGGACATCAGTTTGGGAACCTGTGCCCTTTGGAGATATATTGTAGTATGTTAAGTAAATGACGTGAGAACGAATAGCAGAGAGATAGGCTCACAAACAGTGATTAAAACTTCAAACTATTCTTTAAAGACTGTGATTTAGCTTGAATTTTTTAAAATCATTTAATCAAATTACTATGATAAATTAACTTCCTATTTACAGAAAAGATTCAAACTCATTTCAGCTTTACTCATTCTAGGGTCTGCTAATGCTTAAATGCAAACTCACTAAATCTGTGCTATTTAATTAGACCACGATTCAGCTGGCAGACTGCTCAGAAAAACAGTAATCTCTACTAAGATCCTTCTTCAACTTCTAACCTTGCAGTTTGGAGTGCCAACCCAGTCCTGATATTAAATAAATCTTAATCGTACTGGTATTTGGTTTTTTTTTTTAAATAAGGAAGAAAGTCCGAAGTGCTGAACTAGCCAAAATAAAA